GGAAGCCTGCTTCTCCCTCTCCCGCTCCCCCTGCTTGTGTTCCCTCTCTCGCTGTGTCTCTCTCTGTCAAATAAATAAATAAAATCTTTTAAAAAAAAAAACCAAATTACAAAGCAGTCTCGGGTGTGGGGGTGTTGCATATATTTCCATGGAGGGAAGTGCAGAAGGATACATACCAAAATGTAAAAAGCACTGGATGTTGGAATCTGGGGTAATTTAATTTTTTTTCTAATTTTTCTACAATAAACACATATGGTACTATCTGTACAATTTTAGAATATTGGTTGAAAAAAGAAAACTCAGTGTCTTCCCTATATACCAGTAGAGCCCTATCTGCACAATTATAACTTAGCTGGGAAAAAAAAACAACAACGTCCCCAGAACACAGCTACAGTGTGATGAATTTCTCAAATGTGTATTCTGAATAGGCAAAAGAAGTCAAAATACAACCTTCTCCTTCTCAACCTATTTCTTTTTAAAGATTTTATTTATTTATTTGACAGAGAGAGAGATAGCGAGAGCAGGAACACAAGCAGGGGGAGTGGGAGAGGGAGAAACGGGCTTCCTGCCGAGCATGGAGCCCGATGTGGGACTCGATCCCAGGACCCTGGGATCATGACCTGAGCCGAAGGCAGACGCTTAACGACTGAGCCACCCAGGCACCCTCAACCTATTTCTTTAAAGTAGTTTCTATCAATACCAAAAGAACCCAAAACGATCCTATTAAAAAATGGGTAGAGGAACTGAATAGACATTTTTTACAAAGAAGACATACAGATGGCCAACAGTCACGTGAAAAGATGCTCAGCATCACTCATCTTCAGGGAAATGCAAATCAAAACCACAGTGAAAGATCACTTCACACCTGTCAGAATGGCTAAAATCAAAAAGACAAGAAGTAAGTGTTGGAGAGGATGTGGAGAAACTGTGCACTGTCTGCAGGAATGTAAATTGATGCAGACACTGTGGAAAACAGTATGGAGTTTTCTCAAAAAATTAAAAATAGAGATACCATATAATCCAGTGATTGCACTACTGGGTATTTACCTAAAGAAAATGAAAACACTGATTTGAAAAGATATATGCACCCCTACATTTACTGCAGCATTATTTACAGTAGCCAAGATATGGAAGTAACATAAGTGTTCCTCCATAGAAAATTAGATATGGAAGATGTGATACACACACACACACACACACACACACACACACACACACACACACACACAGAGAGGAATATTATGCAGCCATAAAAAAGGATGGGATTTGTGCCATTTGCAACAACATGGATGGACCCAGAAGGTATTACACTAAGTGGAATAAATCAAACTGAGAAAGACGAATACCATATAATTTCACTCATACATGGAATCTAAAAAACAAAACGAATAAACACACAAAAAGCAAAATAAACACAGAGGACAAACTGATGGTTGCCAGAGGGAACGTCTTGGGGGATTGGGTAAAATGGGTGAAGGGGAATGGGAGATACAGGCTTCCAGTTTTGGAATGAATAAGTCACAGGGATAAAAGGTACAGCATAGGGAACACAGTCAATGATACTGTAATAGCGTTGTATGTTGACAGATGGTGACTACACTTATGGTGAGCATAGCATAACTTACAGAGCAGTCCAATCACTATGTTGAACACCTGAAACTAACGTAACATTGTGAATCAACTACGCTCAAATAAAAAAATTAATAAAATAAAAATAAAGAAATATGGTCGTTTCTACACAAGAAGCCAGAGCACTGACAGGGTGGGTCTTCTCTGAGGAGGAGAAGGCAGAGAAGCAGTCCTTTTCCTTTCTGAGGGACAGCTGGAGTTGAGAAGTTCAAACCCCAATCAAAGCTCTCCCACATGCACTGGCCATATGATTTTAAGCAATTTACTTCTCTTTGTTTCAGTTTGAGAAATTCCCTGAGAAATAAGGGAAATACTACTGATCCTCATTGTAGATAGAGCAGTGATGAGTATAAAGCTCTTACAAGTGTTTGGCGATGATTAAGCATTCATGAGCACAGAATGGACCCCATCAAGATAGCTCAAAGGGCCACAAAATCGGTGTTTCTGCTACAATTTTTTAAAACATGCTTCATGCCCTGCCTCCAACCCACACACAGAAAAGCAGAGAGACAGACCCGAGGCTGAGCGAGAAGATGCCCAGACACCAGATCAGAAGTGGCTTCAGGGCGCAGAGCCACCTGCACCCAGGTCACAGCACTCTAGGCCGGTGACCAGGGAGACCTCGCGGTCCAAGTGGCGGGCCATCATCTCCTACTACAGGGGAAGACGGACGGCCTCCACCGCCCGTGGGAATCTGTCAAGAACATTTTCTGGGGGAGGAAGCAGAGAAAACAGATCTGGACATCAGCACTCGGTCCTGTCTTAGCGGATCTTTCCGACAAATGCGCAGTCTCCCTGGAACACAGCACGGGGTGTCAATCTCACCGCTACCCGACAGCAAAGGAGCCCGAGGGCCAGTCGGAGCAGAGACGGGAGCCTAAGGAAGAACTGCTGGGGGTACCGCGCAGGAGTCTGGAAAGCTGGGAGGGAGGAACCGAGGAGAGGAGCGGCGTGGAGATGAGGCATGAGGTGGGAAGGGGAGCGAGGGGTGGGCCCCGCCGGCCCCGCGCACAGCCACCGCGCGAACCCCGAAGAGCCGCGCAGCCAGCGTCCTCCTCCCTAGGGGTCTGGTCCCCATCTTTACGGTAAAGTAAGGGCAGCCATCCCCCCATCCCGTCGGGGCGAACAGAAAGGGGGCTTCTGGAGGTTCTGAGGGCGAGGCGAGGCCCCGACAGCGCGGGATCCTCAGAGTGGTCCGTACTCCCGCCTCTTCCGCCTCGGTGTTCCAGGAGCACCGGAGGGGCGCGCCCACCGCTTCCCCCACCCCGGCCGCCGTCACCCCGCGGAGGTCTCGCGCTCCCAACGGCAGCTGCACGCGACCCGGAAGGGCGGCGCGACACTCCACTACTGCCTTTCTTCTGAGGCGACGAGCGCCTCGCACCGCGAACCCGCGCATTCACCTGAGCGAGGCCACGCGCTCCAGCCTCTGCCACCTCTGAGCCCTTAAACGCCCGCCGGGGCACGCGCGCTCCAATGGCGGGGACGGGGCTCCGCCTGCGGCGCCCGGAAAAGGCGGGAAAGGCTCCGATTGGCTGAGACTTTGCAAGCCGCCAGCCCCACCCGTCGGTCTCCTCCCGACTCTGACAGCACCCCTCCCCGCCCCCCGGCTCCCTTCAGGCACCTTTCGCCAAAAGGGATGATGGCCCCGCGGCGGTTCTCGGTGTGACTCTGATTCACCGCCATCTTTCTCCAGGCCCCCTCCTGCCGCCCCTCAGATGGGAAGGGGCGGGGCCTGCGCCAAGCCGGGGGGCGGGGCTTTGAAGGGAGGGCGGAGATTATGGCGCAAGGACGAGGGTGGGGGGTGAGTGGGCGAAGGGGCTGGTCACGTGAGGGGCGGTGGTCGGAGAACCAGGCAGTGTCCACGTTGAGATGCCGGTTGAGGGGGAAGGGAGCAGACCCAGGGAACTGACCCTGACCCTGGAGCGCAGAGGTTTGAGTGAGTGGCCTCCTGGATCCACACCTGTCCTCTTGGCTCCTGCGTGGTAACCCAGGCATGGTTGCTGGGCTGCCCACGGGAATGGACTTAGAAGCAGGATTTTCCTGCGTCCCCCGTGGCCGGGGCAGGAGGCTAATGCCCTTTGGAGAAAGGGTCCAGGATTTCTCTCTTCTCCTAGGGCGAGCAGAACTTCTCCCCACCAGAAAAAGCCTGGAATCTGAGCCGGTTTCTTGTCAGCGAGCATTCAGGGAAGGGTGCGAGAGCTGTGTCAGGAGGATCTGTGCCCGCTCCAAGATCGAGAGTGTGTCAACCATCATACCTGCCCTGCCTCCTCCAAACGGTGATTGTGAGGAACCGGTGGGATACATTATATTGGAATCGCTTGAAGACTAAAATGTTGTCCATATTCTTATTTCCTTTAGAATTCACAAAACAGCGCTGAAGGGCTTCAAGCAAAGGGATGGTAACGGCTTCTGGATTACCGTATTTCATCAAGTTTAAGATGCATCATTTTTAAATGTACCACTAAGGGAAAAAAAGGTGCCAAATAAAGATATGTCATCAGTTGTAAGCTGTTTTATGTTTTTGTTTTTAAGTAATCTCTACACCCAACATAGGGCTTGAACTCATGACCTGGGGATCAAGAGTCGCATGCTCTACGGACTCAGTCAGCCCGAAGGTGATTTTTTTTTTTTT